TCCCTGGAGCGCTTTCCTTAATTGTGCGATGAAGGTAAGTGCGTGTGATAGCCATTTGCGTATTGTAGGGTTTCTATCGGTTTAGTTCTGGATTTATTCTTTTATCGCATTATTATCACTTTGTGGCCCACGTGTGATAAGGTCCTATATGCGCATCATAACTGGAACATGGCCCTTGCCTGTTTTGTGTTGACGCTGTATGTGCAGAAAGAGTAGGCTATAGGGTTAAAAAAAGCATTTGTAAAACCATCCGGTAGTGTTCTTGTTGCTAAAAGTTCCATTGAAATCCAGTATATTTTAGAATAACATCACTGGGAAAGCTGAGAGGGCTGGCCTTACTATTCGTCAGAGTAAAGCAGTTGTCTACAGAAGGAGATGGGGATGAGTGGGTGGGCAGTTTGCAGAAAGTAGCAATGATGAGGTGTTTGCAAGCCATGTGGCCTGCCATGAAATACCTCTCCTCTTCCACCACACACACTAAATGTAATTCCCAGGGTCAGCAATGTCTTATTTGTCTGAGACATAAGGCTGCGCCAAGGAATTCTGTGTTTGAGACTTGTTCTGCTCTATTCACAAAAGGTGAATGACCTAATAGTTGAGTTTTATTCAAGCATTGCTAAAGGCCACTGTCCTCTACTATGTCTGAAAACAGCAGGTTAGCTGGGACCACAGTATGATGCCCACAGCAATGCTTCCAATATCAGAATCTACCAAAGCTGCTGTCTAAGGTGTGAGCATCTCACTCTGCCCACAGGTAGGACTAGCCCTGCTCAGGTAGCAGTGTCTCATGTTCCTGCAGTTGAAATTTTATTACTTGTTTTTATTGCCCTTTGTCCTTAGTCCTCACATGGCCAAGAAGAGGAGTTGCCTCTGATTGCATTGAAATCCCTCGATACCATCTTTCATGACAACAGAGTAACATCTGAGACAGAATGGATGCCTGTGACTATAATATTGCCACCTTTTTTCTCCTGTATGATTTCTTTTTCTAGTTCTATATTCTAATTCCATTTTCTAGTGTCATGCCTAGCTGTTTGGAGCACTGAGGCACCACTTCACTGAGGGCCTCTGGAAAAGGGTTGCCATTTGTCCCGGAAAACCTGAAAAATCCCAGATTGAAGGAACTAAAAAAAAAATGTCCCAGGCAGCTGGGCCAACTGAAGCAGTAAATCCCAAATTTCTCCTCCATCACAGGCCAATGGATAGGTTAAAATGTGGCAGTGGCAATGAAGCAGGAAACTGTGTAAGAAGACTGGCACTGGTGGGAGCCTAATCCCACCCTGCAGGCTCCAGTTGCTACTATACAGGTGTAACATTGCCACCTTATTCTTCCATGCCCTCCCCATTTCCATCAACAGGCCCAGAAGGTGGGAAAGGAAAGGAGGCAAGCAGAGATGGCCTTGTGTTGTGCGGTGATTATGTTGGTGGCTTGAGCCTAGGGCTAGGCAGAACGATGGAACTTTACTTCCAAAGAGTCTTGTATTCTCTGAAGATGCCAGCTGCAGATGCAGGTGAAACATCAGGAATACATTCTTCTAGAACACAGCCTCACAGCCCGAAAAACCCACAAAAACCTATGGATGCCGGCCGTGAATAATAATAATAATAATAATAAGTTTTATTTCTAACCTGCCCCTCTGCTCAGCAACCGGGGCAGCGTACAACAAGGTTAAAACAGATACAATATAAAACAATCCTATCCCCCAATCCCTAACCCTCCCCCCCTTAAAACTGAATTAAACTAATACAAGATTGAAATGGCTGTGCAGAATAAAATACCATCAGACCATAAAAGCAAACAAGAGCAGGCCACAAGGGACGAGTGTCAAACCATCTGGACTGAGCTGGGAAATTATTCAACTTCACAGTCTTGAGAGAGTAAAGGGACTCTGGAGCTGCTTGGAAACCTCCTTCTCTTCACACCAATTGGGGGGAAAAGAAGAAGAAGAAAAGAGTTCTTAGCATGGTACTGGTACTGAGGTTGCAACATAATGACAGAAAAAAATGCAATGATTAATGTGTTTAATTTGCATAATAACAATGCAAACGAATAATACACATAATTATAATAATTTGCATACTATGTGGGATATGAGGACTGGAAGGGACTGGGATAGGGCAATCCTACCCTGGAAGCCTCTGCTGATGACCAGCCAGGACTGCATTTGTAGAGGAAACAGAGAGGACACCAATGGCAGAGGCCAAGAGGCTCCCGAGGCAGTGATGCGAGTGGAGCGAGGGCCTGGTCAGGGAGAAGAACAGAATGAAGGCCATGTGCAGGGGTGGTTTGGCCAGCTAAGGGAGAGAAAAGAGGAGCTGGCATCTGCCCGCTTGGTGGACAGTCAGATGAGGCCATGGTGACAAAAAAGGGAGGCAGCCATGTGGCAGCTGAACTGGAGGCAGGGAAGCAAGGAGCTGGCATCTTTGAGTGCATAAATACTGGAAAGCTATGGATAGCTGTTAAAGAAATGGGCATTTGATTGTCTTAATATGTAACCTGTACCAAGGACCTTCACAAGTTCAACCTAGACAATGAAGAAATAGGAATAGTCAAAGAATTCCCATACCTGGGATCAAACCCAGAAATGGGGACTGCAGTCAAGAAATCAGAAGAACATTAAGAATGGGGAGGGTGGCTATGAAAGAACTAGAAAAGATTCTAAAATGCAAAGATATACAACTCAGCACAAAAGTTAGAACCATACAAGCCATCGGATTCCCTATCACCATGTATGGATGTGAAAGTTAGACAGTCAAGAAAGATGATAGGATGAAAATCAATGCATTTGAGATAATGTAGTGCTAGAGAAAAGTGCTGAGGATCCCATGGATAGTCAAAAGGACAAACAAGTGGGTCCTAGAGCAGATCAAACCAGAAACCTCCCTGGAAGCAAAGATGACCAAACTGAGGCTGTTGTACTTTGGACACATCATGAAAAGAGGAGACTCTTTGGAAAAAAAACAATAATGCTGAGAAAGGTGGAGGGAAGTAGGAAGAGAAGAAGGCCACATGCCAGATGGATGGACTCTGTTAAGGAGGTCACTTTGGGTATTAAGGGGTTGCAGGATTTAAGTAGAGCAGTGGAGGACAGAGGGTCTTGGAGATGTCTCATCCATAGGGTCACCATGAGTTGAGATTGACTCGAGGGCTTTTAACAACAAAAACTCAGGACAAGAGGTTACAGTTAAGACAGACTACACAGAAATGGGTTTCCAATTAGCAAAGGATTCAAGGCAAGACTGCATTTTGTGTCACCTTATTTGTTTAACATAAGCCAAAAATATCATATGTAAAGCAGGATTAGGCTTGGAGGAAGGAGGCATGAAAATTGGAGGAAGAAACAGCAAAAATTTAAAATATGCAGACGGTGCCATTTCACTGACAGAAAAATAGCAGAGACCTGGAATGACTACTGAAATAAGTCAAAGAAGAAAGTGAAAAAGTAAGTTTACAGCTGAACATTAAGAAAAGAAAAATAATGATCACAGATGAATTGCACAACTTTAAAGTAGATGATGAAGACATTGAAATGATTGGCTCAGTGATTAGTTAGAATGGAGATTGCAATAATAAATCAGAAGAAGATTTGGATTTGGGATTTGGAAGGGCAGCTCTGCAGGAACTAGACAAGGGTGGCATCCACACTGTAGAAATAATCCAGTTTGAGAGCACTTTAACTGCCCCAGCTCAATGCTATAGAAGTCTGGGATTTGTAGTTGACATTTAACCTTCTCTGTCAGATGCAACAAACTACAAATCTCAGAATTCCCTAGCACTGAGCCAGGGCAGTTAAAGTGGTGTCAAACTGGATTATTTCTGCAGTGCGGATGCAACCAAGATCAGGAAGTTTAAAGATATATCAATTGAATACTAAAGTTAGGATTGTCTATGCCATTGTATTTCCCATATCTATGTATAGTTGTGAAAACTGGAAAGTGAAGAAAGCTGATAGGAAGATAATCAACTAACTTGAAATGTGGTGCTAGTGAAGAGTTATATGGATACCATGGACCGCCAAAAAGACAAATAAATGAATCCAAAAGCAAATCAAACCTGAAATCTCCCTAGAAGCCAAGATGACTAAGCTGCTGTAATTTGTACATATCAAGAAGATAGGACTCACTAGAAAAAAAAAACATTAATGTTTAAAAAAGTGAAGGGCACCAGGAAAAGAAGAAGATTGCAATGCCCAGTCTGCAAGATCTGAGCAGGTCTATTGATGCTCTAGACTAGAGCAGTGGTTCCCAAACTTTGGTCCTCCACGTGTTTTGCACTTCAACTCCCAGAAGCCCCAGCCAACTTGGTTTACAGTCAGGGATTCTGGCAGCTGAACCAAAACATCTGGAGGACCAAAGTTTGGGAACCACTGCTCTGGAGGGTGACCTGGAGGTCTCTCATTCATGGGATCAGTAGGTGGAGTGGAGAGCAGTTAACAACAATTATCTTTTTTTGCCTGATGAAGAAGCCAGTGAAACTTCAAAAGCTTGCACTATGTATTTCATGCTTTACAGCTGGACCAATAATGATATTGCTGCTTTGTAGATTATTTGTATTAAAAAAACCCTCTGTTGGTAACTGCTCTCCACTCCACCTTTGTACTCCATGAATGAGAGACCTCCAGGTCACCCTCCAGAGCAGTGGTTCCCAAACTTTGGTCCTTCAGGTCTTTGGACTTCATCTCCCAGAAGCCCTAGCCATCTTGCCCAACAGACAGGAATTCTGGGAGATGAAGTCCAAAACATCTGGAGGACCAAGGTTTGAGAACCACTGCAAGTTTAGAGCATCAGTAGCCCTGCTCAGATCTTGCAGACTGGGCATTGCAGTCGTCCTCTTTTCCTGATGCCCTCCACCTTTTCTTTTTTTACTTTTTAATCTATTATTAGATTAATCTATTATTCGCATAAAAAATATTTATTGGATTTTGTTGTATTTTGCTGCATGGCCAACATGATAACCTCTGAATATCTTTTTGGTGGGAGCTTTGGTAACCCTGGATGAGAGCCAGTGTGGTATAGTGTTTTGAGCGTTGGATTGTGACTCTAGAGACCGGGGTTCGAATCCCAGCTTGGCTATGGATGGTGACCTTGGGCAAGTCACACTCTCTCAGCCTCAAAGGTTCGCGTTAGAGTCGCCATAAGTCAGATGACTTGAAGGCAAACAGTGCCCAATACACACATTGGTAACCCTGGTGTTGGGTTTTGATAAGGATGTGTGTGTGTGTGTGTGTTATTGGATAAGAACTTGGTGTTATCTTGTACTTCCTTATTTGTGCTGTTTTGTTGACTTTGCCTGCTGTGGTGCCACAACAAACTACAATTCCCAGAATTCCATAGCATTGAGCCCGGACAGTTAAAGTGGTGCCAAACCAAATTATCTCTGCAGTGCGTACGCAGCCATTAATACTAAGGCTGTATCAGCACTGCAGAAATAATCCAGTTTGACACTACTTTAACTGCCCCAGCTCAATGCTATGGAATTCTGGGATTTGTAGCTTTGTGAGACACCTAGCCTTTCTTATCAGAGAGCTGTGGTGCCGCAACAAACTGCAAATCCCAGGATCCCATAGCATTGATCCAGTTAAAGTGGTGTCAAACAGAATTATTTCTGCAGCCCTATCTAGTCCTAAAGGCAGAGATAATCCAGTTTGACACTGCTTTGACTGCCCTGGCTCAATGCTATGGAATTCTGGGATGTGTAGCTTTGTGAGATACCTAGCATTTCTTATCAGAGAGCTGTGGTGCCGCAACAAACTGCAAATCCCAGGATCCCAAAGCATTGAGCCAGGGCAGTTAAAGCAGTGTCAAACAGAATTATTTCTGCAGCCCTACCTGGTCCTAAAGGCAGAGATAATCCAGTTTGACACTGCTTTGACAGCCCTGGCTTAAAGAAAGACTTTTGTAACTATTAATCAAACATTTCCTAGGAATGTGGGGCATATAGAAAAGCTTGGGACTCTCTGCTCCAGTCCTTCACAGGCATCACTTTGTTGTGGTTTTTCTCTGGGAGTCCAGCTCCTCCTTCCCTTTCTATGATGAAACGAAACTGACCTGTGTTTCTCCCTCCCTTCTTTCCTGGTTGAGTTGAGTTGTGTTGTGTTGTGTGTCTTCAGGTGCAGTGGTTTGGCTAAGACTTTGGAGACCAGGGTTCGAATCCCGGCTCGGCCAGGGAAACCCACTGGGTGGCAAGTCACACTCTCTCAGCTTCAGAGGATGGCAATGGCAACTCCCCTCTGAAGAAACTTGCCAAGAAAACCTCAGGATAGGGTCGTCACAGGGCTGTCATCAACAATTTGAAGGCACACAACAACCACAACTCCTTGAACCTGTGATGGGGTCTTCTTGGCAAGATTTGGAATCATAGAATCATAAAGTTGGTTGGAAGAGACCCCAAGGGCCATCCAGTCCAATTCTAGTCTGCCATGCAGGAACTCCCAATCAAAGCAGCCCTGACAGATGACCATCCAGCCTCTGTTTAAAGACCTTCAAAGAAGGAGACTCCACCACTCTCTGAGGGAGTGGGTTCCACTGTGGAACAAGAGAAGAACAATTTGTTCAGAGGAGGTTTCCCATTACCTTCTCCTGAGGCTGAGAGTGTGTGGCCCCTCATGATAGGTTCACAGTTGTGTTGTTGTGTGCCTTTAGATCAGGTCGTTTATGACGACCCTAAGGCGAACCTACCACAAGAGGTTTTTTGGGCATGTTTCTTCAGAGGGAGTTTCCTATTGCCTTCTCCTGAGGCTGAGAGAGTGTGACCCCATGATAGGTTCACAGTTTTGATGTTACTGTGTGCCTTCAGATCAGGTCGTTTATGCCGACCCTATTACAAGAGTTTTCTTGTCATGTTTCTTCAGAAGGGGTTTCCCATTGCCTTCCCCTGAGGCTGAGAGAGTGTGACCCCCATGATAGGTTCATAGTTTTATTGTTGCTGTGTGCCTTCAGATCAAATCGTTTTTGGCGACCCTATCACAAGAGTTTTCTTGGCATGTTTCTTCAGAGGGGGTTTCCCATTGCCTTCCCCTGAGGCTGAGAGAGTGTGACCCCCAAAGATAGGTTCAGAGTTTTGTTGTTGCTGGGTACCTTCAGGTCGTTTATGGCGAGCCTAACACAGGGTTTTCTTGGCATGTTTGGTCAGAGGAGGTTTCCCATTGCCTTCCCGAGGCTGAGAGAGTGTGACTTGCCCAAGGTTGTCCCCCCAGTGACTGAGCCAGGATTCGAACCCTGGTCTCCAGAGCCATAGTAGTCCACCAGGGAAAGCGGGAAGCCTTGGAGAAGGGACTTGTTCTCAGCCTGGTCCAGACCTCCTCCTTTCACTGGGGCAACTTGTCCCCACTTGCCCAGGCCAGCCTTCCGCTGATTGGTCGGCTGGGCCAAGGAGGGGGCAGGGATCCCGCGGTGACGTCACTGGGAATCCCCCGGCCGGTGCTGGTTTTGGCGCGCCAGGACTCAGAGGCTGGCAGAGAGAAAGAGAGAGCGGCAGAGGTAGTTGGATTCGAACTCGCCGCCTGGAAACCGGATCGAGAGCAGCAGCAACAACAGAACGATCGCTTTACCGAAATGATGCCGGGCAAAACGATGCGGAAAGCCGCTCAGACCAACGAAGCCGCTTTGCTCCCTTCCTCGGAGGCAGGTAAGGAAACCCCCCCCCCCCATCTTTGAGATTAGGATTCTGGAGACCCGGGTTCGAATCCATGCAAACCCACTGGGTGTCTTTGGGCAAGTCACACTCTCTCAGCCTCATAGACAACCCCCCTCCCTCTTTTTAAAAAATAAACTTTATTTGCTATAAAAGCAGAAACAACATAAACATAAACAACATAGACAGAGAACATTCAGGGGTAGCTGTGTTGGCCATTTAGCAAATTCAGACAAAAATCCATCTATAGTGATACTACCCAAATGCACAATGTACTTGTTGCAAGCTTTTGGAGCTTCATAGGCTTCTTCATCAGGCAAAATGTTACAATCTCTCTCTCTCTCTCTCTCTCTCTCTCTCT